ATCCACCCAAGCTGTTTGCAGTGGCTTTTTTCCATATGAGTGGCCTGTCTTGGCTCAGGCTTTAGGCTTTCCTAATATCTTTCAAACAAGCAGCAGCTGGTGTCTGTGCCTCAGGCCTATCAATAAGAGACCCAAGACAACTTGGCCTTGCCTGGGTACTTCCAAATCCAATTCAAGTAGCCACCATCTGTAGATGGCTCGCTCTGTAGCTCATGCTGAATGGCCCTAGGCCCGTGGTCGGCAAACTGCTGCTCGCAAGCCACATGCGGCTCTTTGGCCCCTTGAGTGTGGTTCTTCCTAAGCCTTAGGAGTACCCTAATTAAGTTAATAACAATGTATCTACCTATATAGTTTAAGTTTAAAAAATTTGGCTCTCAAAAGAAATTTCAGTCGTACTGTTGATATTTGGCTTTGTTGATTAATGAGTTTGCTGACCACTGCCTTAGGCAATGGCTGACCTTGCACCTCCCTGGAGGCCCCAGAGCCAGGTATTTCAGTGGGCAGCTTCAGACCATACCATATTACACCTTTACATATCCACAAGCAACACACTCAAGGGACAGTCTCAGTGAGCACCAAAGCCCCACTGAAGCAAGTCCTGCTCCATAGGGGTGTCTTCTGCACAGTAGCTCTTCCAGTGTAGACACAGATGGTCCATTCCTCCCAGTGACGCCAACAGCAATCAAAGCTTGACTACAACAAGACTGTGTACACAGCCCACAAAGGGGTGCACCTAGAGTGCCCAGCTTAGGTGACTGGGGAGGCTGAGCCACTGGGCCCTACAGGACACCTACTGCACAAAGCCACTCTGAGCTATAGCAGCTCTACCTAGTAGATAAAGAACAGAAGAAGTCTCCAGAAAAAGAACTAAATGAAATGGAGGGGAGCAAACTACTAGATACAAAGTTCAAAACAATGGTTATAAGGTTGCTCAAGGATCTTAATGAGAGCTTCAGGGTCTTTGTGAGACTTTGAAGAATCTTGGTGAGAATTTCAATGAAAGGACCAGTCGGAAATGAAGCATACACTAACTGAAGTAAAGAATAATTTACAGGGATTCAACAGTAGAGTAGAAGATTCTGAGAGTCAAATCAATAATTTGAAATATGAGGAAGCAAAAAACACCCAATCAGATGAGCAAAAAGAAATGGAAGCAAGCCAACTAATGGATACAGAGTTCAAAACCATGATTATAAGGTTACTCAAGGGTCTTCACGAGACTTTCACGGATCTTAGTGAGAACTTCAAGAACCTTAGTGAGGACTTCAAGGAGCTTTGTGAGAACATCAATAATATAAAATAGGACCAGTCAGAAATGAAGGATATACTAGTACTACCTGATATGAAGAATAATTTACTGAGAACCAGTTGTAGAGTAGAGGACACCAAGAATCAAATCAAGCAATTTGGAAGATGAGGAAGCAAAAACACCTAATCAGAAGAGCAAAAAGAAAAAGAATCCAAAAGTATGAAGAGAGTATAAGCAGCCTCTGGGACAACTTCAGATGTACCCACATTCCCATCATGGGAGTTCCAGAAGGAGAGGCGAGGGAGCAAGATATTGAAAACCTATTTGAAAAAATGATGACAGAAAACTTCCCCTACCTGGTGAAAGAAATAGACTTAACAAGTGCAGAGAGTCCCAAACAAGAGGAAGAGGTACATACCAAGACACATCATAATTAAAATGGCAAAGGTTAAAGACAAAGAATCTTAAAAACAGCAAGAGAAAAGTAGTTAATTACCTTCAAGGAAACACCCATACAATTGTCAGCTGAATTCTCAACAGTAACTTTGTATGCCAGAAGGGAGTGGCAAGAAATATTTGAAGTGATAAGAAAGACCTACAATCAAGATTACTCTACCTAGCAAAGCTATCATTTAGAATTGAAGGTCAGATAAAGAATTTACCATACAAGGAAAAAGCTAAAGAGTTCATCACCACCAAACCAATATTACATGATATGTTGAAGTGTCTTCTTTAAAAAGAAAGAAAAATAAAAAACATGAACAATAAAAAGGCAATAAATATATATACATCAAGCATTGAATCTAAAAGTCAAAATAAATGAACAAGAATTTGTCATACATTTATTCTTGGCTGGAAGGTGGCTAGGGAGAACTGGCTTGAGAATGGAGATTGGGTTAGCCAACCAACAGTGTCAACCAGAGTCCGATTGGCTGATGTGTAATCTCAGCTCTGGCATTTTTTATAGTCAAGTTATTTAGCCTTACCAAGCCGCAGTTTCTTCATCTGTGAAATGAGGATGAAGAGGATAATTGTTGTTATTAAAATGTTCCTCCTCTTACTAAAATGAGATAATGCGTGTTAAAATCTGAACAGTGTGACAGTCAAGAGACTTACTGCTCACAAAGTATTAGCTCTGATCTTATCTTTCATGTCATCACCAGCTTCATTCTTTTATTTTTTAGAGATGAAATTCACATAGCCTAAAATTAATCATTTTAAAGGGTACAGTTCAGTAGTATTTAGTATATTCACAGTGTTGTACAACTGTCACTTCTATCTAGTTCCAAAATATTTTCATCGTCCCATAAAGAAATCTAGTATCAATTGAGCACTCTCCTTTTCCCCTTAACCCAGCTCCTGGCAACTACTAATTTGCTTTCTACCTCAATGGATGTAACTATCCTGAATATTTTATGGAAATGGTACCATACAATATATGACCTTTGTGTTTAACTTGTTTCACTTAGCATGTTTTTGAGGTGCAGCCACATTGTAGCACATATCAGTACTCTATTCCTTTTTATGGCTGAATAATAGAAATATTCCCTTTTGTTCATCCACTTATCAGTTTTGGACATTTGGGTTGTTTGCATTTTTTGGCCATTGTGAATAGTGCTGCTTTTAGCATTTAGGTTCAAGTGTGTGTGTTTGGATATCTTTTTCACTTTATGTATATGTAAAAGTAGAACTCCTGGGCCATATAGTAATTAATTATATATTTAACTTTTTGAGTAGCTGCCAAACTATATTCTACATTGTCTGCACTGTTTTATATTCCGTATGAGTTACAGTTTTTTTCAACTACACTGATACTTATTATTTTATGTTTATAATAGAGGCCAGGTACACGAAATTTGTGCACTCAGGGTGGAGGGGTCCCTCAGCCCGGATTGCGAGAGGGTGCAGGCCAGGCCGAGAGACCCCACCAGTGCATGATTGGGGCTAGGGAGGGATGCTGGAAGTTGGCCAGCTGGGGAGGGACTGTGGAAAGGCTCCAGGGCGTGTCTGGTCCATCTCACTTAGTCCTGATCGGCCGGACCCCAGCAGCAAGCTAACCTACCAATCGGAGCATCAGTGATCAGTGCACATCAGAGCGATTGGTCAACCAGTTGACTGCCCCCTGGTGGTCAGTGCACTTCATAGCGAGCGGTTGAATGGCCTTGGCATATCATTAGCATATTATGCTTTGATTGGTTGTATGGCCAACTAGATACTTAGCATATTAGGCTTTTATTATATAGGATTATTATTATAGCCATCCTAGTGGGTGTGAAATTTTATTGCATTGTGGTTTTGATTTACATTTTCCTGAGGACTAATGAACATTTTTTAACTTGTCCATTGGCCATTTGTTTATTTTCTTTGGTCAAAGTGTATTGAGGTCCTTTGCCCATTTTTAAATTCAGTTTTCTATCTTTTTGTTGTTGGGCTATAAGAATTCTGTATATATTCTAGATATTAAACCCTTATAAGATATATTATTTGCAAATATTTCTATTCTGTAGGTTGTCTTTCCGATTTCTTACTAATGTCCTTTGATACGCAAAACTTTAATTTTGATGAAGTCTATTTATATTTTGTTGCTTGCACTTTTGGTGTCAATATCTAAGTATTCATTGTCAAATTTCAAGTCATGGAGATTTACTCATATTTTCATCTCAGAACTTTATGGTTTTAGCTCTTACATTTAGATCTTTGATCTTAGAGGATCCATTTGGATTAATTTGATTCATTTTGAGTTAATTTTTCTATATGGAATGAAGTAGGACCAGCTTCATTCTGATCACCTTTATTACCTATATTACCCATTGATATGAACCATGAAGCCACTACAGCATGATGAGTTGTTTTTCTGTATAGCTTTTTCCCCATGTATTCAGTCAGTGGTAGTTTCCTTTTTAATTTTTACTAGAGGCCCCTCGGCCTGGTCTGCAGGGCTTAGGCTAAGAACAGCTCTCTGACATCCCCTGAGGGGTCCCTGATTGAGAGAGGGCGGTTCTTGAGTGACACACCTAGGAGTCGGGCTCCCTCCTCTCTGGTTCTGGGTGTGTCACCCGAGGACCGCAGCTGCCAAGTCACCGTAGCTCTGCAGCTTTTGTGTTGAGCATCTGCCCCCTTGTGGTCATTGAGCATCATAGCTACCAGTTGGATGGTCGCTTAGGCTTTTATATATATAGATATTTGAAAGTATTCTGCATAATGTAAAATGTGTTTCCTAATTGATAAAATAATCCCATTTTATCCTGTGTATAATAGGAAAATGTGAGCTACATTAGATATATTTATAGTAGGTCTGGGTGTTTTAATTTATAAAATTTGCAGCAGTGATTAGTAAATCTCTTGTTTGTTTCTAGGTTTAAAATTTTGTCACTGATTTTGAACACTGAATTTGCTATTATAGTCGATCAGAATGTACTTGTTATTTTTGCATTCTAATATTGTTTTATTTGGTTATTCATAGTCTGTTATATCTTTTCTTGAATGGTACTTCTTGATTATAAGTTGGCTACTAGTCCTTTTTTCCTTGTTCATCTGCAGATGTATTTTCCGGGGGAAAAGTGGTATGTTATGGTAGCCTATATAAGGCTGTTGCATACAATTCTTTAGCATTAAAATAAAAATCTACCCATGCAGGATGGACAGAATAGACCTTATACGTACTTCTCTTATCTGTCCCAAATTTTAACGTTTAAAGTTGTCTCTTTCTTTTAAAAAGAGGAGGATATAATTTGGTCATTCCTTTTTTTAGTACTTGGTTCTGAAGCTTGAAAGGCCTGCTATAGTCCAGAATATCACATTTGGAAAATACGAGAAAACGCATGTCTGTAATTTGAAGAAATTTAAAGTCTTTGGTGGAATGAATGAAGAAAATATGACAGAGCTGTTGTCCAGGTGAGTTATGATTATGGGGTGGAAATCCTTGTCTTCTAAATAAGGTGCAGTCTTAATTTAGTCTTTTATATCTAAATCTGCATGGTTTGATTTTTCTTTCATGGGAGGAAAGAATATTTCCACTATTCTATTTCTAGTGACTTATTTTAGTGTTATGGCTTGAGTTAGCTTTTTTTTTTAAAAAAAAAAATAAATAAAACCCCATCAGATTCTAGTTAATGTTATTGGAGAATTGCATGGGTGGATTCCTCCAATGTTAGTGGGAGTGGGATTCTTATGATATCTTGAGAAAAGGAGTTTTTTAAAACTCCTATGGGAGAATGAGATTTGGTAGAAAGGCTTATTTACATGAAATTACATCCCTCAGTTTCCAAAGTCCCATTTCCCTTAAACCAGTCCTGGAAAAGTTGCAGGTAGAGCTTCAGCAGAGCTAGAAGCAAAGCCAGTGTCCATAGTTTCTGTTCCATGGTGAAGTTGAGTCGGGCACAGCACCAGGCTAATTTTAGTCCATCAGTCCATTGTGTGTGGGGTCCACATGGCTGTGGGCCATGTGGGCTAATGCAGGGGAGCTTGCTCCCTGCAACAAGGGAGTTAGAAGTGCAGGATTTTAAATATTAAATCTTCCGGTGCTTGCAGTGGCTATGTCTATTCTAGCCCATGGTCTGTTCCCAGATATGGCTGACAGGTAAAGCACCTTCCGACGTCACCCAGATCTTACTGGGCATGAGTCTGTTGTCAGGTCCCTTCCCCCAGTGATCTGTGGGGAACAGACCTGGAGAGTGTTCAACTGCAGTTTCCTGGCAAAGCTGTACAAATGGCACTCCTGTGTTATTTAGACTTCCCTTTGCTCCTTTTCTGTTAATTAATTAATAACTGGGTTAATTATAATGGTATCAGTTAATATTGTTACCAAACAAGAAAGCATAAAATTTTGTCTTTTTCTACTTATTTTTATTTATTTTTAAAATATATTTTATTGATTTTTTACAGAGAGGAAGGGAGAGGGATAGAGAGTTAGAAACATCCATGAGAGAGAAACATTGATCAGCTGCCTCCTGCACATCCCCTACTGGGGATGTGCCCGCAACCAAGGTACATGCCTTTGACTGGAATCGAGCCTGGGACCCTTGAGTCCGCAGGCTGACGCTCTATCCACTGAGCCAAACCGGCTAGGGCTTTCTACTTATTTTTTAGTCTTATTTTTGGACTGTAATGACTTTAGAAATACTTTCAACTTTAATCAAATCTTTGCTATAATCTTTGCTATAAAAAAATGTAGATTCTTTGTATGGATGCATGGAACAGAATAACAGATCTCAGTGCTGGAATGGGGCGTGAGAGGGGACAGGAAGAAATTAACCAAAGAATGTACATGCATATATGCATAGTGCATAGATGTAGACAATAGCATGGGGGAGATCTGGGGTGGAGTGGGGTGAGGTTGGGTGGAGGGGGACAAAAAGGGAGAAATTGGGAGACATCTGTAATACTGTCTAATAAAAAATAAAAATATATAGGTTTTATACAAAACATTAATATTGGTTGCCCTATCCAGAAGTAATATTCTGGGAATTTACTCTAAATTGGAGACTAAAAAGAGAAAAAGTATCTGACTGAACCTGGAACAGTGCCTACCACTTGGAAAGAGCTCAGTAAATTTGAGTTTTAACAACATAGACCTCTAGGAATGAAAGGGTTAATTTACCTCATAGATAATGAAAAATCAAATAGACAGTGGAAGGGACAAATAAAAGCATGAGGTTTTAGAATATATTTGTGACATGGTATGTCCCATTAGCACAATAGATTATATAAGTAAATATTACATTAGTACTGATTACATTAATACTAATTACATTACATTAATTAAATAACTGAATTCTTTGACAAATTTTGGCCTTTTTTAAATGATAAGATATGAGGTTAAAGAGCAACCAATGGACTTGTGTGCATGCATATTAGTATAACCTATGGACACAGACACTAGGGCAGTGGGGGCTTGCCCAGGGTGGGAATGGCTGGGGGGAGGGTCAATTCGGGAAAAAGGAGACATATGTAAAACTGTAGACAATAAGTAAAAAAAGAGAAAATAAATAAATAATGATAAGATATGAGGGTGAATTGTTTTGTTTGTTTTTTTTACTTCTTGAATATTTTGTTATATTCAGTTATACATTAAGGATGTAGGTCATCACAGATTTCCATTTTTTAAATTAATATTGAACATTTTTCACTAGCCCTCATAATTAAGAGAATACAGTAATAATGCAGATGATATGAATGTACAAGTTTTGACCTATATTCTCATGTTCAACTACTTCTTTGGTCATATATTTTAGCATTATTTTAACCTTAAAATCTGGGGATGGTACTAATCTGAGTTTTAGTGCAGTTACTAAATTATGAAGTCAGATTTGACAATCTTATTTTTTTTTCCACAGTGGCTTAAAGAATGATTATAACAAAGAAACATTCACCTTGAAGCATAAAATTGATGAACAGATGTTTCCTTGTCGATTCATCAAAATAGGTAAGGTTTTTAGCATTCTGAAATATAAGTAAATTCATAATACCATTGGTCAGCAAACTATGGCTGGCTGAATCCTGTGAGCCCTGTTTTTTTAAAAATTAAACTTTTATGGGAACATTGCCCCACAGGTTGTTCACATAATGTCTATGTCTGCTTTTGCACCACCAAGGTAAACATTCGGTAGTTGGAAGAGACCACATAGCCCACAAAGCCCCAAGTGTTTCAACCTTTGTAAGAAAAGTTTTCTGGCCCTTACTTTGTAACTCTATAACTGACAATTATTTGAAGTGGAACCATTTCCAATAATTTTCTCATTTGAAAGTTTATTGGAAGATTTTATGAAATACAGTGATTTGATTGCCTTGGTTGTTTTATTGAAGATTTATCAAGTTCTAAAGCTATAACATTTTACAATCAAATACTGATGAATTTCTTACAGCAGTTTATTATATTCTCTATTCTGTTCTTTTGTATTTCATTGTCTTAGTGAAATGTTGCTCAAACACATAAAACTAATTTCATGACCTTATGTAATAAATTGCAGAGTATTGTTTGAAAAGTACTACTTAAGGCATGTATTTATTTACCAAGTGTTTTAGCTTGAGAAAATACTTATAATGCCTCCTCAAAATTAATATTTTTAGGGTTATTTTATTTTTCTTTAAGATTTATTATTTAGAAGGTAGGAAAGTTAAGGACTGGAATATTGTAATTTCTATCTATATTGTATACCTTTGGAAATATGGTAAAATTGAGATTAAAGTGAATCAGACTCCTCAGAGAATAATAATGAAAGCCAGAATCCCATGTTTTGATTTGGAAGATAATTTCCTCTTTTGGAACAAGCAGTATACTTCATACTCATTCTTTACTATTCTATCAGAAGTTACCCTGTTTATTTCATTAAGTCAAATAGTACTGTTGTGCAAAAAGAATATCTGAGGTCTTAATAAAGATTATCTATAGAGGGAAAAGTTTTTTAAATAGTTGGGCTGTCCAGTGTATTGTGGGGTTTTTTTTGTAATTATAGTTTCAGTTATCCTATCTAATAAAAGAGAAACATGGTAATTAGCGTATGACCGCTACCCTTCCCATTGGCTAATCAGGGCAATATGCAAATTAACTGCCAGCCAAGATGGTGGCCGGCAGCCAGGCAGCTTAAAGTGGACATGAGGCTTGCTTGCTTCAGTGACAGAGGACTCCAACGTTCCCTGCCTGCCGCTGCAGGCCTCTGAGCTGCAACTCTAAGCAACTATGTAACAAATACAGAAGCTAAACAAAACCCCAGAAACCTGCTTTGGTC